ATGAGTTTATTTTACTTTTGCTCTGAAAACAGTCTATATTTCCCACTTACATACATTATAGATTTTAGTGTGGATTTTTGCAGTTACTTTGAGGCTTTCCTTATAACTATGTTTACTTTTAAACATTTGAAAATTTGCATTTACTTTCTAATAGTTTTCATTTCTGTTATTTAATATTGATTCAACTGTATCTTGGCAAACGGAAAGCAAATATTTGGAATGTCTTCCAAAACAAAACCTCAGTGATGGTCTAGAACTCAGGTCAGTGTAAATGTAAGTACCTTGGCATACTCCCTGGTCTGGCAGCCCCAGAATCCCTGAGTGGCACTAAACCACCCTTGGGCATCTTTGTTATGTAACTATGACTGATATATCTTACTATCCAACATGAAATCATACACAGTGAACTTCACATGCTAGATGCTTAATAAAAGTTGAATAACCCCTCCGATATTGTAGGTCCTGTGAATTAAAGATAACTTAAATTGGTATCATACATATCTTCCAAACTAAAATATTTGCTTAATAATATGAATAATAACCTATAAAATGTTATTAGTATTGTACTAGAAAATATAGAAAAGGGAGTTTTATATACATGGTGACAAAAGTATTCTCTTTCTTTTAAATGATTTAAAAAATAACGCAGTCAGTACCAAACATAATAACTTCTCAATAAATAGTTGTCACAGTTAACTGCGGCTTAATGTTGTTCCAGAGTGCAAAGGACAAAGAAAGAAATTCCGAAATTTCCACCGGTATGTTACAAAGCAAGCCATAGCCGTCTGTCATCCATTATTTTAATAGGGGATACATTCATTTCTACAATGTCAAGATGAGAGTAGAATTTGGAAATGTGATAATCATTTGATTAAGACATTCTCTTTACACAAATTTATTGTAATCACATCCCACCATTTTCTGTCATTGAGTAGATTCTGACTCATAGTAACACTATAGGACAGTATGGGAATAGAGAGTCTCATCGGAGTAGGTGATGGGTTTGAACCATCCTTGTGGTTAGCAGCCTAACACTTAACCCATGGCACCACCAGGGCTCTTTAGCACATAAAAATATTTAGTAATTACAGATTATCACTTAAAATTTTATCCCTATTATGTAACACCTTAGAGAAGTTAGCAAGGCTTTACAGAACCCAAAGGCTGAGTAGATACAGTTCAGAGGACCTTAATGGGGAATAATTTTATTCAACTGTTTCTCTGGTGTGTGTCCAGAAGTAACACTCACATATTATGAGACAATTTAGAACCCCTTATAGAACACCGGAAGCTAGCATATGGTAATTGTCCCAAATGTATTAATATATACATAAAATTTCAAAAATCCCTAAATATTTGACAATGCTAAAAGAAGATGAGCCTCAATGAGATGGAATGGCACATATAGCAATGATTGTGAGGATGGGGCAACTTTCATTTGGCTGTGCCTACAGTTGCTATGAGTCAGAACTGATTTGATAGTACCTAACAAAAACAACAATAATCGTATTTTTCATCTTTTAGAAACTAATTCTGATCTTCATTATTGTTTCAGTCCACTACTTACTGGTAAGTTGTTGTTATTGTGTGCTCTGGGGCCAGTTCTGACTCATAGTGACCCTGTACAGGGTTTCTGAGGCTGTACATCTTTACGGGAGCAGAAAGCCTCATCTTTCTCCTGCGGAACTGCTGGTAGTTTCGAACTGTTGATCCTGAGGATAGCAGTCCGATTCGTAACCACTACGCTAAAGTTAGCTGGCATTAAATTCATGGATTCTTTGTAGTCCTTTCTTTACTTCCTCCCCAAGCTTTCATCAGGCTGCAGTTAATTTCGGTAGTTTCTTTAAACTGTATGACATAATTCGTTTGGCACATCAAGACTATCACTGTTTAGCTTTCCAACTTCTTAACTTTAATAGAATTTACTTGTTTTAAATTCTTTCTCTGTGTTGCCTAAAATCCTCTAATATTTTCCCAAAGGTTTCAGAATATTGGATGCAAATTTTAGAAGTATATAGCATGTCTTTTAGATGTGAGAAAAGTCAAGTGGTAGGAAAGCAACTGATAAAGAGTTAATTTTCTTTAAAATTAGTCGTTTCTATCAACCTCCAACAACATACAACTAATGGTGCATCTATTGCAAGGTGGAATGATATATCATGCAGTAGAGGCAGTAGAATACTCCATCTCAAGTTAAGAAATTAAGAAGCCTGGTGTAGTGCTAGGGGGTGTGCCTTGGATTGATGACAGCAAGGTTGGCAGTTCAAACCTACTAGTCACTCTTGGAAACCCTGCACTGGGTCATTATGAATCGGAACCAACTCGATGGTCAACAACAATATCTAAAATATATTTTTAAATGAGAGTCAAGATCTAATGTTAGTTTTCTCATAAAAAAATGCAATTATTCTCACATAACTTAGTCGTTTACCTAGAGAATGAGATAGTCTGTACTCCTTCCCTAAAATCCTCAGTTCACAAAAATGCAAATATTTAATAATTTTGAGTAGTGAGCATGCTCAAGTTTGCTATTGTTTGTAACAGTATGTATTACTATATGTATTGTAGTTTTTTCTAAGTAAAATCAATAACTCTGCCCTGAATCCTTTAATTTTCTGGGAAAGTAGGAACCTGAATATTGGGGGAAAATTGGTCATGTTTTTGGCAGATGGCAAGATTACAGTCTTACCATAAATGAGAGGTAAATCAAAGTGGAGTCAAGACTAGTTCAATTGATGAATAATGAAATAAGTAATGGGTTAGGGTTGGATTTAAACAGAATTCTGTCTGTACAAAGCATTTGAAGACAATGGCTAGATGGACTAGAAAAGACAGACATTTTCTCATGTGCATCTGACCCTCTCCAACAAAACGTAGTTTACCCTTACTTTGTAATGGTTTCCCTTTTTAAAAATCTGTTTATGGAAACAAATATTTATCATCTATCTAGTTTATTTTTCTAACAGTACAGTGAAGTATGATTCAAATAATAGGAATTAAAGGAACTTGAAAGGTTTTCCTTAATGTTTTGGATAATGCTTTTGTAAATGTAAAGGAGGAATTCGTTTTGGAATTAATGTAAAGTGTTAAACTCCAGTTCCTATTTTCTCTCTAAATGTCTATTTTTAAAGGTTTATTAATTATAATTGTTATTTTTCTTTCCAAATTCACTTTTTGTAGAAGGCTCTTTTAGATTGGCCTCAAGAGCAAACAGCAAGCAGATTGATGCTTGGTATTAGAGGGGAGAGGGTCCAATAATGGGGCTGGGGCTGGGTGCTAGTGAAGGGGAGCCAAGAAGAGGGGCTCAGGCAGGGACACTGCAGAGACACTGCCCTCCCGGGGCTGCTTGAAGCATCTCACTGGTGACGGGCTTAAAAGCACGTGGCTACGTCATGGAAAGCCAGTCTTTTCAATGCAAACTTCAACTCCTCCTCCACCTCCCTCTAATGCCTGTAACTCCCATTCGAGGCTGGGCGAGAAATCCGGAGAGGAGATTTTCCTCACGCTCATGGTCGCTGGAAACTGGGAGAGTTAGAGAAGGGAGGGGATCTGTGGCGCTCTCTACCTACTACAAGCCTAACAAGGGGAGGGGGCACCTAGATTTGCATCTTTTCTTCGTGTTGATTGAGAACTGCAGGTTCTAACAGATCCGACTGATCACTGGCGATTGATTATTTAAAAAATCGACACTTGGAGAAGGGAGGCTCTGTCTTCGGCTGTCAGACTCAATCCCGGAGGTGGTATTGGTGTGTGAGTGTGTGTGGTGGTCCCCCCTTTTTTT